CACTGGCTCTTCCAACACCAGGAAGTGACCTCCACGTGTTTCACTCCAAGGTGCGCTCGACTAAGTCCTTCAAGGACGATACCAGCGTTCACCCCACACCACGGGAACCCGTTGCTGGACACAATCGTCGAAAAAATCTCCTGAACCGTACTAAAGCCAGTGTGCCCCTGGAATCTCGATCATCTTCCAACCAACGTCCAAGAGAGGGTGCACTGACGGGAAACGGCTGCAGTGGAAAGACTTACCATGCTTGAACTTGAAGTGTATTGTTGTGCGAGCAGCTGTCCACGTGTGCCCAAGTACAGATGATAAGTGCCCCATTGCTGGCATTAGACAGCAATGTGTCTCTCCTGTACCTCCTGTACCTCTTGACAGCTCCAGCCTCTTGCTCTTGCAGTCTTGGATGGACATTTTCCGGCATAACAAACGTTACTTCATCGTGACTAACTAATCAAATTAAAGACTAGGCATGACTTACCCGTACATCTACATTAAAAAGCCAGAACAACGGAGACCAAAATCTTCAACTAAATAATTGGAAAAGTCTTTCCGTACCCGATATGGAAAGACTGGTTGGCCTTTGTCACGTACACGTACATTGTACATGTACAATGTACGTGATTGTTCACGTATTGTACATACACATGTGCTGTATTGTGCTGGTAATGTGGTCTGCTCTCTCATTATTAAAACTTAATAAAAGGATACTTACAGTGTCTAATACCTCGCCCTATGCCCTATGCCCTATGCCCTATGCCCTAACTAAAGGCCCTATGTCCTATGCCCTATGGCCCTATGCCCTATGGCCTACTGTGATCTTATGCTACACACCGTCGACGTCCTTCAACTGGTGCATGCATTGTACTGTACAACAAACATGGTGTCTCCTTAATGTTTCTTTCCTGTTGCACAGATTCGCAGCTACGTCTGGAGGAAGGGAATTCAGACTCACCAGCGTGACGTAATTCGAGTCCTGTCCACCATTTCCAGGAATGGATACGAAGCTTCCGATAATTACTTCGGAGTACATGTACAACCATGTACAGTATTATTACTCCGAAGTAATAGTTTCCTTTTAATACATGGACAGGTACATCATTGGCAGGAACTCCTTTATAGTTATGAGGGACAGCTGTACTCGCTATCTCTACCAGCAATCTACATGTACGTGTATATTCTATAACCAAGCCCGGCCGCCGATCTGGACTTTCAGTTACAGCTATAATTATGTACTGCTATTTCTTCAGTGTGCTAGTACCTGTACACTGTACCTGTACACTGTACATGTAGTGAGTTCTGCACGGACGAAACAGCATTTTTTCGATGTGTTGTGTGGAGGATGATATTGATAGTGTAGAAACTATCTTCTAGAGAATTGTGAAGCATTGTTTTGGGTAAAATCTGCTCTTTTCCCAGAGGCCATTGATTATCCATGTGATGTCTGTAATTCTGTATGCAACATGAAGGTTGGGTCGAATTGAGCGAAGTAAATGAGCCACATCGGAAGAATAATTATATTGAACATTTGTTCATTCGCCAAAGCCTTATTCTGCATGACTACAAAATAGAGCTGTGTAACCATGGTAACTGTGCGCTTTACTAGAAACCTACCATGGGACGGTAGACTTTACGTGAAAGCAAGTGGACTGCATGCAGTAGTATGCAGTAGTACTTTTGAGTGCGGACACAGGCAGGAGTCTATATACAGTCAACTTCGCTAATAACGACTGCGGATATAACGACAATTCGCGAATAACGACAGAATTTCCATGCCCAGAGCAAAGTCCCATCCCACTGTAATACATACACGGTAATGGGACTTCGGGTATAACGACACTTCGCGAATAAGGACACTTTTCTGATGCCCCGCCGAGTGTCGTTATACGCGAAGTTGACAGTATGCTCAAGCCAACGTGTAAAGAGCGAGGAGGGAATCTATCTATCTATCTATCTATCTATCTATCTATCTATCTATCTATCTATCTATCTATCTATCTATCTATCTATCTATCTATCTATCTATCTATCTATCTATCTATCTATCTATCTATCTATCTATCTATCTATCTATCTATCTATCTATCTATCTATCTATCTATCTATCTATCTATCTATCTATCTATCTATCTATCTATCTATCTATCTATCTATCTATCTATCTATCTATCTATCTATCTATCTGTCTCTGTCTCTGTCTTTCTCTCTCTGTCTTTCTCTCTCTGTCTCTCTGTCTCGCTGTCTCTCTGTCTCTCTGTCTCTCTGTCTCTCTGTCTCTCTGTCTCTCTGTCTCTCTGTCTCTCTGTCTCTCTGTCTCTCTGTCTCTCTGTCTCTCTGTCTCTCTGTCTCTTTGTCTCTCTGTCTCTCTGTCTCTCTGTCTCTCTGTCTCTCTGTCTCTCTGTCTCTCTGTCTCTCTGTCTCTCTGTCTCTCTGTCTCTCTGTCTCTCTGTCTCTCTGTCTCTCTGTCTCTCTGTCTCTCTGTCTCTCTCTCTCTCTCTCTCTCTCTCTCTCTCTCTCTCTCTCTCTCTCTCTCTCTCTCTCACTCTCACTCTCACTATCTCACTATCTATCTCACTATCTATCTATCAATCTATCTATCTATCTATCAATCTACTATCTACAAAGATTATACAGCAATGAAGCAAACAAATCTCTTTCCGCTGTTACTCGGATTTTCGTGTGAAAACACTGATCAGACAGCATATGCCCAAGACTAACAATCGCTAGAATCTATACGGAGGGTCTTGAGAAAAGAGGGCAGAGGTGATGGAGGTACCACATTTCAATAGCGCGAGGAAAAGGAGGTGACAAAAATCAGCGTGATTATAAGAGGAAACAGATGTTGAGAGTATAGAGCACAGGGTAGAGGAACAGCGCGATTCTCTGGCAACACATTCAGTTCTGTGCCCTGCTAAAAGCGCATCATGGCTCCGTTTAAATGCTTTTCGGCTAGTGTGTTTCTGTGGTATAGCGGACTGAAGAATAGTAAACGTGTTTTGCAATATACATGTATGTATGAAGCTATTTTGTATATAGTATCTTCCCATTCCGTTTTTGCTTTGGTGTAGCCCTGAGGTTGATTTGCTTATTTTTTCTACCCTTCCTCTCTCCGTACTTCTGCCCCCCCCCCTCTCTCTCTCATTCCTTCTGTCGTCCACATGTATCAAAGGAGGCGAAATCGCCTGTTTGTGGTGCGACGTTAAATAAACTTCTACAACAACAAAACACATCAGTACAGATGTGTGCTGCATTGTGACACACGTTTTTTGTTTTTTGTTTTTTTTTTACAAGATAACCACAAACCATCATGGTGCAAACGCCGGCAAAAACGCACAGAGATGCACATAGCGATGGCAGCCGAAGCAGTGGAGGCGGGGCAAGAGCAGCTAAACCGATCAACCAGGGGTCTCGGCCTCAGCACTGCTCATGCGCGCCAAAGTACATGTATATAATTATTCTAGTGATTGTTAGTCTTGGGCATATGCTGTCTGATGAGTGTTTTCACACGAAACTCAGAGTAACAGCGGAAAGAGATTTGTTTGCTCCATTGCTGTGTAATATTTGTATTACTGGCTCCGTCCACTGGACATAGAGCACTGTACGCAGCCTGACCTGGACCTGACAACTGTCTATCATTCTACTAGTACATGTATCTATCGACCGATCTAAATCTATCTACATGTACCTATAGTATGTATCTAATATTGACTGAGTACGAGGTCAATATAGGAAATAAAAGCCGAGTAAAAGACCCAGGCGAAGCCGAGGTCTTTTAGGGGTCGTCCATAATTATCGAACTTTTTTCACAAATCGAAATAATTTCGTTATGGGGTGGGAGGGGGTTGACCAATTTCGTTTCAGAAAACATTGATACATGTGCATGCCCATAGGAGCAGTTACACACTTGCAACTTTTGTTGTATTATGCATGCATATGTCAAACTTTTTTTACGTTCTGAGGGGGAGGGAGGGAGGGGTTGGGTCTAAACTAAAATAATTCGTGAGGTGAAAAACGTTCGATAATTACGGACGGCCCCTTACGAGGTTTTTATTTCCTATACTGACCAAGTACGAAGTCAATATTCGATTTATCACGACAAACATTCCGTATTTCAAATTCCAGAACGATAACCTCATGAATCCCGGTTTTATGATTGCGCAACCGTTGCACCACCACCTACTCATGCAGTGACAATGCTGCACTAGGCACCGTTCAACTGCGCAACCCCTAAGCAGTCAAATATAAGCAGTCAATATAGCCCTAAGGAGTGAAATATGCAGGAATATTTGACTGCTTAGGTATAGCGAAAATCAATGGGTGTCAATACTAAGGGAGAGATAAAGTATCCATCGTTCACATGACTGTACAAAGGAGGCATGCTTGAGTGAGGAAGTCAGTGGAGAAAGAATTGTTCGGAATGTCACGTGTCAATGAAAACGTCGATTGTTGTGTGCGCATTGATAGTGAAAGGGAGGAAGTGTTGCACATCTACATGTAGTTCTTAATTCTACAGGTATGAGCTAGCAACTCTGACCTAGTCTAATATAAGCTCCGCTGCCAATGCGACCCAAAAATGTCGGAACAGCTAGCTGTCCGGAGATTGAGTACATTAACTAGCATTGTGTATCTGCCAATACAATAGAACTATAGTGACATCTGTAAAGACGACCGCTGAAGGGACCTTCAAAACGTGGCCTCAGTAATCACCACCAGGTGGTCTCCTTATCCAGGGTCATTTTAACTGGGAATAGCACCCCTGCCCCTGGCCCTTGGTTCTGGTTGAATTGGTTTTCTTGGATTTGTACTATTTTTAGTATTGTACTGTACTAGACACTTGGACATGTTTCAAAGTAAAACCTTCCAATTTCCAAAGGGCAAAGGACTCCTAAATAAGGCTAAAACACCTCTTTGAGATACAGTGTACAGTGTATTCTCAACACACAAAAATAGAATCTGGCGCACTGTAGCAAACAAACATTTGAGCACTCTCGTTTTGCACTGCGGGTACTTGGAACTATACACACTGCTTTGGCAAGCTGCTGCTGCACATTGACGATACTGTGCCAGTGCAAAGCGAGATACAGTAGATCTACGTGCATGACTGCATTGATAGTCATGTACATAAATCATGGCAGCCGAAGTAGATCAGATGCGCCATGACTCATGAACCAGCACAAATCGTGCACATCTGCCACAGAGTGAGCGTCTTTGCTAGTAAGTGTTTGACAATTAAATTAACCGAGCTTTCGGCCATACTCTACTCCATTCCCAACTCGTCACGCGTGGTGGTGACGAGTTGGGAACTAAGTAATTCCTTGCAGTAAAATAGTACCGGTATGTGCTTTGCATGTCATGTGTTAGTTTACTGTACTGTGGTTGTGACTCGTGAGTGAATGTATACAATACCGCGGTACCGGTACATGTACTAGTACTAGTAGTACTAGTAGTAGTCTGAATTAAAGTCCACACCCTTCAACAACAGTGATTGATGATCGATCGTCTTTGAAAGCCTTTCCTAAGTGCATCTAGTGCATCTAGGGTAAGAGTATTCACCCAGCCACAGTGCTGGTGTGCATGTACATGTACAATAGCAGTGTCAATGTCAAGAGACCCACGCGTAATTATTATTACCTCCAATTGGAGGGCACTTGCAGCTGAAAGCAAACAAACTGTTCCTCTACAGTCATGTACCATGTGTACCGGTATGTTGCAGGCAAGAGTCTTTTAATTAATAAGGACTACTAACAAGAGTACACTAGTAGTACTGCAGCGTTGAAGACCATTAGTTAATGCCTATTCAGTGCCCCCTCCCCCTCCCGATAATTATTTGAACTAATGGATTTTGAACTAAGCTACTTTGATCAATCTGTACTCTTTCATAGAGTGGTACAACTACTTACATGTATGTTTGCATGTGTACAGCAGCGATCTGGTATACGGTTTTCCAACTAGAGATACTGGTACTCCCTCGATCCCTTAATGCCTTATGCAATGAAGTAGTCACGCGATTTCTCGGCTGATACTGCATCTGGAGTCAGAGAGATTGAACATTAATGTGAATGGTCATGTTGCTGACCACGTGTAGATCTACATATACATGTACATGTACATTACACGTAGGGTAAGTTTCACTGTGCACTAGGCCTTTGCGGATAACGCCGGCAGAAAAATTGGCAGAATTCGGTACTTTTTCTGGTAAGTTTCATGCATGTTTGGTATGTGCAGGCGCGTACGCAGGGGGGGTTTCCCGTTGCCCGGAAACCCCCCAAATGTTCCAAACGAGCAACGTTTTTGGGCATATTTTGGTAGGGTGCACGATCGATCTGGCAAGAATGCGAAACTTCAACAGATCGTAACTCAGTCAAATCTCGCTCAAATCTAACGATCCAGATATCCAGGTCGAATAGAAAACTCTCAGCTGTCGGTTGAAACAATTTGCGACGCGCTGCGAGCAATGTCTCTTGAGATAAATTGTTCGTA